CCCCCCCCCCCCCCCCCCTCCACAATCCCCTTTGATTCCCCGTTGCAGCAAGGGGAAGGGCCGGCTGGCAAAGCTGGGAGGCAGCTGATTGCTTGGCTGTAGCCAGCAGCTACATGCCCTGCCTTGTGCTGGGTGCCCAGGCCAAGTGCTGGGCAGGGGGGCGAGCTTCCCTCCCAGGGGCTGGGACTCCGGTCCCTCCACCCCCAGGGAAGGGGGGTCTCCTCTCTTCTCCTCTCCTCCCTCGCATATAAAGCAGCAGCCCGGCAGCCCCTCTGCCCCAGGAGGCAGCACAGACCCCCATGGCCCGCGGGCTGCTGGCCCTGCTGCTGCTGTTGCTGGAGCTGGAGCCTGAGCCCAGCGGCGCTGACTACTGCAGCTGGAAGGGCAGGTGAGAGCATCCCCAGAGCACCCCTTGCCTTGGCTGCCCCCTGCTCAGGTCTCGAGTTTATTCAGCTCCAGCCCTCGCTTTTTGCTTTAAACCTTGGGCTGACCTAGCAGGCAAAGGGGTGCAGGTAGGACCGTGGGAGCCGGGGGGGTGCTAAGCGCTCGCACCCCCTTGGAGTTGTGCTCTGCCAAACCCGCTGGCAGCGGTCCTGTGCAGGGCATTGGTTGAAACCCGCCTGAGTCCTTCCGAACTTTTCCTTCTGCAGGTGTCAGTGAGCTCCTCTCCTTTCTTCCTAGTCTAGCCCAGTGTTTCCCAACCAGTGCGCCATGGGTTTTTGCCAGGACAGTGAGCTGCCATAGGTGTGAGGATGGGGGAGTGCCTTCACAGGTAACATTTTTATTAATGGAAGGGTGCCTTGGGCTGGAAAAGGTTGGGAAGCGCTGGTCTAATCCAGCCAGCCTTTCTGCTGCAGCTGCTAGCTCTGCTCCTGGCTGTTTTGAACTCATTCCAGTAAACTTTTATTTGTTTTTGCTTCAATCTTCAACTGAATAATACAGCCCCAGCGTCTTAGTAATGCTTTGCATTTTTTTGACCTGGAGGAAAATGTGTGTCATTGTGCCATAGGTGATGGTGCACGTCGCCGTCTGCACCTCCTGTTTTCAAAATCCCAGATCCACCCGTGTTAGGAGCAGTCGTGTAACAGTGTTCACACTGGAAGGGGTTACCTAGCCGGGTGGTGGTACCTCCAGCACAGGTGGTGTTAAAAGGCGGGTGAGCTAACGCTTGTCTGGGACGGTGTGGATAGAGATGATCCTGTCTAAAGCATAAGTTCCTCAGTCCCTTGCAGCGCATTTTTCTGTTGCTATCTGCGAATGTCAGAGAATAAACTTTGAAAATCTTGAAAATCTCCAATTTCATAGACATTAGGGCTGGGAGGGACCTTGGAAGATCTTCGAGTCCAGCCCCCTGCAACATGATGTGTTTCAATTATATTTTTTGTTATCATTTTGACAGGAAAACGCAAGTTGCAATTTTCACAACTAGTAATGCAGGTCCCGGCTTCCAGAAAGGAGTCTAATGAAAAGTAACTCCACTGGAGTTAATGAAGCTGCACTGATATAAAACTGGAAATCTTTGATAGGAAATAGCTCTTGACTGTTAGCTTCGGGTACCATTCTTAAATGTGCTTCAGTGACTTAAGTTTCATAGTCGCAGTGGCTTACAAGTGCAATGTTTCTCCCACTGATGTAGTGGGAGATTTGCCAGTTGGACTGGAGTTCAGGCAGTGCTGAGCGCTTTCGACAACTCCACTGAAAGTTGCTATCGAAAGTGGAACTGAGGTGCTTTTTTTTTTTTTTTTTAATTTTACTTTGTCTTCTACCACATAGGTTACAACAAAATGTCCTTTCCCTTAGCAGCTGCCACTTCTTTTGTGGTGGGGAGAATGAGTAAACGCAGCGATAATTGATAACGCAGTCAATGGTCACTATAGTAGCTGCTTTGCCCAGGTTTGCAAATTGCTGCAAACAGGACTAAATGCACTAGAAAACAGGCTCCAGCGGGGGTCTCCATCCTTTTTAAGTAGATCACCTTTGGCATTTAAAAGCAACCCAAGATCTACTGCATGCTGCCACCCAAAGTTGGGGGAGAGCGCGTGGGGGGGTGCAGATTGCAGCCAAGGGAGAAAAAGTTATTTGAGAGTGTGCCTCCCCAGCAGGTAAGTCCCACCTGCCCGGGGCCCCACTCAACTTACCCCTGCTCCTGCCTCTGCAGCGCTGTCCCTCACCACAGGGGCCTGGATTTAACCCCACGGACCAACCTGCCAGGCTGGGGCACACGCGTGCACGCATGCGGGCGCTCAGCCCCCCCACCCCAGCCTCGGATCGACTCCAAGAGGCTCCGAGATCTACCGGTGGATCGAGATCTGCTGGTTGGTGACCACTGGGCTGCAGGGAGCGATCCCATGCTGGTTAGGAGGTCAAAAAGTAACAAGGGATGGACCATTCAGCCTGTCTCTAATTTCTGAGGCTTCTTGCTGTCCCTATTTCACGGAGGAAAAAAATGCCAAGATTTTGTTCGATGTTATTTGTGCAAAACGCTCAGACTCCCAGCTGAGATGGGACCCCGGTGTCCAAAGCGCTGCAGATATTAGCACAGACAGAGACAGCCCTTGCTTGGAAAAACAGGCTAAATACGTGAGACAGACAAAGCCTGGGGAGGAAAACAAAGGTGAAATGGCCTAAAATCACAGTCAACCAGCGATGGAGCTGGCAGTCAATCCGGGTGTCCTGCCTCCCAGTTGAGTGCTGTCTCCATGAGCCCTGCCGCCTGGTGTTTTGTGCGTTATAAGTTGTGTGTTTCCCACTGTGTTTTGGCAGCGGTTTGAGCTGGGAGCCCCGATCCCGCACAGTGGAGCAGGTCCACCTGCGCTGCACCGAGGGCTCGCTGGAATGGATGTACCCGGCCCGTGCCCTGCGTGTCGTTCTGGAGCCCAACCTGTCGAGTGCCAAGCACACCACCGTCTGCATCAAGCCAGCGAGCAACTTCCAGGGTGCCAACATCTACGTGGAGCGCACGGGGCAGCTGCACCTAGTGGTGAGTGAGGCCGAGGAGACATGGCTGCGCCATGTGTCCTGCTTCAGCGCCCACACCCCGCAGCGGGTCGCCCTCTTCCTACAAGCCAGCCCGCAGAGGGACATCAGTCGCAGGACAGCCAGTTTCCAGTACGAACTGCTGAGCAACCAGAGCACTGCCAGCCCCGACATCCAGAAGATGGCACTCGTGGAAGGTAAGGCTGGGACTTCACATATTGCCCCCATCCTCCAGACGGGTCTGTTGAGGCCTCTGCAGGAGAAAACCCCTAATGCCCGTCCCTCCCTCTGCTGCCTTGTTAAAGCAGCAATATTGACATGGGAGATGGATACAGTACTGCAGGCTAGGAGCAAGCTCTGCTTCATGCTCCAAGTACTGTGCAAGGGGAAACTCTGCGGACCGCTTATCACCTGATTCAAATCCTGGGCATTTGAGCAAGAATTGTGAGAACCTAGGGAGCAATATTTCCTTGAGCACCAGAGGGACTTTGCTGCCCCAGTCCTGCTTTCAGTCCTGGGTTCCCGCATATAGACACTGTTGGAAGTTTGATGTTGCATCTGTTCCTACATCTGAAAAAGGCTCCCTTTCCATTAATTACTGGGGGTCAGATCCACAGGCCACTCAGATCACCAGAGAATCGTCCCAGTTCTGGGCGACCGGGACCCCAGCCCTCGTTGGGAGGGACAATGAGTGTGATCCAACCCACAGCATCCACTGGGCGCTGGCCAGGTCTCAGAGAGAGTATTTGATCTACTGCAGAACAGCAAAAGGCTGAGGCTGAGTGTGGATATATGGGGATAGGCAATTAAAGCAATCGCAGCACTTTTCAGCTGGTCTCTCCCCTTTGGTGGTTGCGCAGGGTCTCTGTTCTCAGGAGGAGGCTTAGTAGATCTTCACTGCTGCTAGCGATTGGGATTTGGAGAATAATAGAAGATATCCTCTTATTTTAGGGTATGTTTGTAAATAGGTTACCCAGTGCCTGAGGAGGACACAGGGTTCAACGACTGAGATCATTCATTTTATAAAGCACCTGAAAGCTTCCAAACGCTGATTTAAAATGTCAGTGTTTCCGTGTAATCCTTTCTGCCACTCTGTCCTACGAGAAGGATGCTGCAGCTTTCCAAGCGTTTGCCATAGCAGGAGGTGGGCAGAAGAGGTTACAGAACTGCTAAGGGTTAACTGTAGCAACAAGCTCCTTTTAGCGCTGCATCCTAGCATTACACAAATCCCAGTAGCATTCATCTGGGAATGAATTAGGATTTGAGCTTAGCAAAAACGAGCAAAAAATCCCACTAAAATAGTTAACGTTTTCAAGCATCACAGTCGATCGAGGAGCAAAATACATGTTGCATGCTGATCTGTTCCACCGATCAGTTTAAGAAAGGGCTGTAAGATGCTGCAGTAGCAAAGGGTGGACCCAAGAAATCCATTCTAGTTCTATGTTTCTATTTCGTCAATTGTGTATGTATAGTAAAAAAAATATTTTGGGTCTGACCCAAAGCCACTGAAATCAAGATATCAGGTCCACACCCCTTCGGATCCATCGCTAGCCCCTTAGGAATAATCATTGAATTTATAAGTAACTGCGTCCCTTCTTCTTCAGCGATGTGCCGCCCTTGTGATGACATGGAGCTTCTCATGGCCATTTGCAGCAGTGACTTTGGTAAGCAGACCTTCATAATGTTGACTCTTCCTTTGCTGCCACTTTGGATACTTTGATCTTTCTGCTTCCTGGTGTCAGAGCCTCATTGGCTTGTGTCAAAACAGTTTGATGGAGTGAAAAAATGAAACATTAAAAAAGCAAAAAGTGGTTGGGGAAAGGGTGAAGGCAAGCAAAAGGGAGGGTAAGCACGTTTCTCTCCACCCACACTACCTGCTCTCTCACGCTAGCCTAGAGAGGTTTGCTTGAATCATTTTATCAGCTGATTTCTTGCTCTTGTATTCTTTATGTACGTGCGTGCACGCACGCACGCGCGCGCGCACACACACACACACACACAATTTTTTGCCTCCACTGATCTGATTCTGTAGATGAGCACAAGCTGATTTTTTTCCCCCTAACCTGCTGTCATTTTAAAACTGTTGTGAAGATATTAAAGTGATCCTTGTGAGGTCCGTTCCCTGCTAGGAGTTTGGCTCTAGCTCTGCTTGCTGTACCCTTTATTAAACCTTCCAGAAGCAAATTCAATTTACACAGATTTTATACGTAAAAACAAATTCTCGGGACCTGTCCTTGCACTCACTGAAGTCAGTGGCAACTAGCCGTCCTGTTTCCTCCCAGAAAGGTTCCTTAGCCCTGATAAGCTGAAGGGCTGGACCCACATTTAAAACGGTAACCGTTCTCCCATGGCAAAATCACCTATAACTTTACAGTTGTCCTTTATATGTTCCCATCCATCCTGATCCCTCTTTTCCTAACCATTCTCTCAGTAGTTTAATGCATGCACACATGTACATATGTGTAATGGGAACAGAAAGAGTCAATTGTTTCTGATTTAGTCCATTTGTATGAAATGATTTATAGTTGATTAATGGAGCACTCTTTCAGGCACATGCACTGGAAGAAAACAAAGCAGCTGTATGCTATAAAATGATAAATAAGGGAAAATGTTAACACGCTGCTGTAGCAAAGGCTTTCTTTAGCCCTTCTATTTATTCAGTTTGGCAAGGTCAATACTGATCTGGTATTTCTCAATATTTTCTCTTGCTCCAAACTAAGATATGGTAATTCTATTGTACTGATTTTTCTCAGTACCCAGAATCTGTTACTTTAATTATACTGCTACAGCCAATGCCCTGCAACCACCCACGTGTGGACACAGCTATATGGTGATAAAAGAATCAAAAGGAATAAGTGATACTGGCACACAATCCTTATCCCAGAATAACTGTCTGCAATAGCGGTTATGCCACTATTTCCACCTTAGTAAAATAATTGCCTGCTGACATACTTATATGAGGACAGAGTATTGCCCACACCTTGTTATTAAAAGAGGTGTTTGCAGATCATTTTTCTTCGTTATTTGAATTAATTGGTGCAATCTGTCCCATTGTTTCTACTTGAAGAAGTTATCAGTTCCCAGGCAAACGGCTCTCCCTCCATGCAGCCTGGAACACCAGAGACTGACAGATGTGGAGGCCCAGGGCACACAATGGGGGGCATTTATACTTATAGCATCAACAGACCAGAAGAAATAGCCCTTTGAACTGACTCTATTTATGGCCTGACTTCCTTGCCCTAAGCTCACAAATCGCTATCATCAACTTCTTTGATTAGAGAAAATAGCTGCTAATGAAAGTGTAAATGACACCGGGCGTGAATAAGGGCTTTATAGTTATTCCTAAGGAGGAGGTCTTCAGTCACTAGGCCCTGAGCAGCACAGGAGCAAGTTTGAGCAAGAGGAACAAGTGCATTATAGCTTGTCAATAGACTTGACTGCATCTGATTAAAGATGCTCACACAAAGCGGGAGATGAAGAGCAGAGCAGAGACATCTGTTAGGCTAAGCACAAGAAGCTCTTGGAAATGAAATTAGCTAAAGAAGGGCCTGGGATTTCCAGAAATCAGCACTTTGTGCCCGTGATAGTAATGAGGAGATTGTCCCAAACTGGAGGAGTTAAATGCCAGATCCTTCACAGGGTCCCAGCTAAATCTGTAACCTCTCGCGTGTTCAACGGCTGCCAGCAGAACAGCTTCAGGTAAGGAAAGCAGACTGCGATTCCCAGCAGCTTCTAGTTCAGATCCAGCTGCAGGCCCCTGTTCCCTCCAGCAAGGTGAGGAAACATTAGGAATTCAGTACATGGCTCAGTGGTGCTGCATGCACCCTGCCAGCTTCTGCAACCTGAACTATGATTTACCGGCTGTGCCATAACCAACTTGTCTATCTTCTTCACATCTAGTGGTGAGAGGGTGCATCCGCAACGTGTCCCATGACCCTGAGAACCACATGTCACAGGTTGAAGTCGGCGTCCAAAAGGTCTACCGGCAGAAAAACAGAGTCTTTCAGCAGGATGAAGCGACCGGTGAATGGAGGGGCCCCATAAAAACCCTGCTGCAGTGCAGGGTGAAGCAGGGGGCCGGAGATTTTCTTTTCACTGGCAGCGAACATTTTGGTGAAGCGTGGCTGGGCTGTGCCCCAAGGTTTAAAGACTTCAGTTCCATTTACCAGACCGCCAGAGAAAGGGGAACAAACCTGTGTGAGTTCCAGTTTAACTGAGATGTCTCCTCCAGGAGGCAAGAGCAAGGTGCCCTCTTTGTCAGCCCCGTGTCCGGGGGCTGAGCGTGAGGTTGGGCAGCAGCCGAAGAGTAAGATTTCGCTAGACCCGAGGCTGGGAGAGCCCCTTGGAGGTCGTGGTTCTGAAAATGGTCAAACTAGGGCCGGGAATCCACGAGTGGTTTAGTTTCATGAACTTTCTCTCCCTAGTGACTCAAGTGCAGGTGGCTGTCCTGCCTTCAAGGGAGATGTATGTGTTTAAAAGCCATGCCTGAGACAGCTCCCTTGATTTGGGGGAGATTCCCCCAAGTGGGTACCTTATCTGTACTGTGCTTTTTCATGGCCAGTTTCCCTCCTCGCTGCTCCTTCCATCTCTGTTCCAGTGTTTCACCCAGCTGATCCTCCCCACCGCCTCTCTGCCTGGCTCTGTCCTGCCCACAACACCCGCTGTGGACAATACACACTTGTCGACAGTTTGAGCTGAACAGCTAAGTTTCACGGTATAACCCAGAGTTTGTCCAGCCTACCTGTAGTCCCTCTGTCTAGACTGCTCTACTGGGAAATGGAAGTGCATTTAAAACAGGGCAGCCAGGTGTTAGCACTCTCCAAGTGCCCTACTGCGATCCCCTACTCTGCTTTCTGCTCCCTGCCCTGCACTCTGCCCGATCTGCTGTTATTTTTTCTGCTCTTTGCCCTATATGCCACTGCACTGCCTGTGCCTGTCCAGTCCATGCCCCAGTCTGCCCTGTGCCAGGCACATAGGCTTCCTGTGCCCCCTGTGGCACACAAGCCCGAGGCTGGCCTCCCTGCATTAAAACACATGCTAATTAGCCCTCCGGGACAGAATCCCAGCTGGTTTAAATCCTTGGTACATCATTAACTTCAGGGCAGCTACACTGCTGTGCAGCAGAAGCCTCCTTTAATGTAGGTAAGGACTGTCACGATTAACATCACGCTGGTTCCGGTTATCATCATCATCATTGGTCATGCGATCCCACTTCACACAGTTTCTGGGAGAAATACTGGTAAAACTCCTGTTTCTCCAATGGGAATCTTGCCTGCATGCAAAATGCAGGGTTGGTTCCCGATGCATTTGACTTTCGGTGGACTGGAGCCAGCAGCTGGAAAGCAGAAAGTGACAAAGTGGAGAGAAGTGATGAATGTCTAGTTTCAAAAACACATAATGATGTTCATTTTACTGAATTTTAAGGAGACATAGATAAATGCTGTGATTTAAGATTTTTTTCACTGAGTGAGGTTGCTTACTTAGAGGTTTTTGCACTGTGAACTTTTCCGGGACAAATGCGCAGAAGTTTGGAGTTTGGTTGGTTTCACTATAAAGTTTCAAAGAAAGCTGCATCCACCCCACAGTCAGTAGCTGCTCTGATATACTGAAGTACATCTCCACCAAGCATCCTTTATATGACTTGTAGATTTGACAGCTGAATGGGTTAGTCTAAAGGTCAGTGTTTGTTTTGCAAGGTGAGGAAGGATGAGTGCAGTCCGAATTTCCATGTGGTACTTTGCACTTTCAAGCTTTGTGTTTGCTGTTAGATTAGAAACACGTGTATTGTATTCTGCCTGTTTGTATATTTGGGATCGAAGCTGTAAAGGTTGATTTTGTGAATTATTGTGTATTTGTTTTGCCTTTTCTTACAAAGGCCCTTTGCTCCAGGGCAGTAGTACAATTAATCTTTGTTTTCAGAATCACTTTGAAAGACTAAGCTACTAGAAAAACTTGTCATAATATAAAAGTGATGTAGTGAGTGTTAGGGTTTTATTAAATAAAAATTTCGCAGTACGAAACTCAGTGCTGTACAGGATATTTGCCTATATAGGCATGTGGTTTTGATATTTAATATGCAGTTCATATTTTAATACTAATATGATATTGAATATGTCTTTCAATTAGCAGCATGAACCCCTTGCCATGGACATGAGATCAGACACCTGTTGGTTGGATTCATATTGTAGTTGGTCTATACTCTGTCTTCCCCCTACTTTGCATAGAGTTGAGATCCCAAAATTAAGACACTGTCCTGAGTAACCAATAGAGCTGGCTGACCATTTTTAAGTGGGGGGAAAAATGGTCTTTCTTGGAAATTTTCATCTTCTAGCTTTTCCAACAACAAAAAAACCCCTGTAAAAATCTTGTTTCTCCACTTTTCCTTCCCAACCAGTTTTTCCTTGTGGCAAAACAGAAAAAGAAAGGAAGGAGGGGAATAAACATACTGCAAAACCCCCCAAACAAGACATGAAACCTGGAGAACGAATGTGACTTTGCAATGCTCACAAGTTCTTTATGAAAACATAAAACATTTTTGAGCCGGCTGCGGTTACAGACCCAGGTTCTAACACAGACGCTTGGAAATAATAAAGACTTCAGAAGAATGTCATTTCCCATATATTTGCTAACCCCTCTAGGTGATCATTTGTGCAATGTAGATAGTACAGATCTAGACCCCAACATTTAGTTATGCTGGTATGGGTACAACTTCCCATGCTTACCACATGTTGTTTCCACAGCAAGATCAAGGGTAGCTAGATTTAGATTAGGCTACTAGAGTAGCAGATGGACAAACTACACTAAATATTTCACTTCAGATAATATGGCAGGCTAGGACCACTGAACAAGCAACAAAGGAGCTAAAGAGTAGCATAAATTCAGGTCACACAATGTTCAGTCTCCCTAACTTTACTGGCACTATGAGGTAGATGGCTGCTAGTTAAGTTAATGTATTCAGTAGTTCTGGCTAAATCAAGATCTTTTCAATTTGCTTCCTCACTTTTTTTTTTTTTTTTAATGATCTGATTTGGGAAACCTGCAAGGACAGTTGAAGGTTTCCTAAGAACTTTTTTTCTATTTAAAGTACCACAGATACTGTTTCTTCCCCTAGCTTCATACCGCACGCAGTTTCATACTTGATCATATAGTCTGTTCTCTACCCATGTAGAATAAAAGGTAAGGGGAAGACTTTTCCTTGCATTATCTGGATTAGCCTCTGTGTAATAGGAGCCAATGATTGCATTCATGTGCTCATTATAGTCTTCCTGGACAATAAGGGGTTATACAGACCTAGACAAAGCAAATTATGCAAGCAGTTTGTAATGCGCACAACTTCATTATGTTTGGCACTGAATGTATCTTAGGTTCACCCATGTCGCATTCACTTGCCCTCTTTGCAAAAGAATAGGCAGAGACTAATTGTGTGTCAAAGGCATGAAGCACTCAAAAGGAAAAGGCAATAAAAATGGAGCTAATTTACAGAGACAGAAAGGTAGGTCGAGCATAAGAGCTACATAGCATCAGAGGTAGAGAGTGCACAGGAGTGTTGGCTGCAGATGGCCACAATTTCTGCTTGGTAGATAGATTCAACCTCATCTGTAGAGAGAGCCATATTTGTTCCACAAAGTCCTGCTCCTTCAGAGCTTGGGTGCTGGGGTGTGGGACTCCTATTAAGGCAGGACCCAGACCTTGCTGAGAGTAGGCACCCACCTGAGCCAGGAGCTCCTGTTCTTGGGGGAACAGGAGAAAGCGTCCTTGGCCAAGAAGTCAGAGACCTGGTTTCTCAGCTTCCCCTGCCACTCAGAGGGGAGTTGAACACACGTCTTCCATTTCCTAAGAGCGTGCTCTAGCCAAGGGAGGGGCAAGCATTTTGGCAGGTGCGCCACAAATTAGCCCTGCGCCCTCCCCACCTGCCACTCTGATCCCCTCCCCATGCCTGATCTGCTGCTCTCTCTCTGCTCATTGCCATGTGCTCCCTGTCTGATCTGCTGTGTGTTTTCTGCTCCCTGACCTACCCGCCCTTGTGCTGCCTGTCCCTTCCCCCACCTGCAGCGTGTCACACTGATGCTGCTGCTTGAAGTGCACATGCTGCAAGCTGGTCGCTCCTGTCCTAAGCCACAGAGTTTCTGCTGGGCTGTGCGAAGACTTCCCCCTGTGGAAAGTCGGTTCAGAGCACTGCATTCAGCCAGGCCTAGGCGCCTAGGGATCTTCTCAGGCCAAGATGGAAGTGCCTATTCAGCTGAGACATTTAAGCTGGTTTGCGACTGCTGACTATGCGCTCTTATTTGTTCTACTCTTTGCAAACAAGGTGCTTAAATTCTGCCTTAGTCCCGTTTAGGTGCCTGCAAGGTCTATTTGGATCTGGACCTGCATGTGTGTGTACTGCTGCTGCTAGCACCTCAACCATTGAGGTAAACCCTTCACCCTTTAATCTCTGAAAGCAGTTGGTGGTCCTTTCCTTGGGTTCTCTGAATTGGTGTCTGCAGTACTAGGCACCTCATGCACTCCCTTTCTCCACTTCTATTTTTTAATCAAACCATTCAGTAATAGAGCATTGTATTTTCAGACCGTATTTCAGTGGTAGCAGAGAAAGGATATCAGATCTATTCGTACACTATGGGTGCATCTACACAGGAGGTTTAGAGTGCAAAACCCATGCTAATGCGCAGTAGATTGTCTACTATGCATTATCGTCACATAAAGACCATTCGTTTGCACTAATGCCCAGTAGCACCGAGTACGGCGCATTAAGTTAGTACCTGTCATTACAAATACTAAACTTAAATGTGCCATAATTATGGCACATTAATGCACGTGTAAATGCGCCCTATATGTAACATCAAAAAGAAGCCCCCTGATGCTATCAAGCATGCCTATTAATAAGTTTTAGACCTATCTTTTTTCAGCTAGTTTAATACTGGTAATGAGAGAGGACCATAATCCAGGGTATACACTGTAAGAGCCGTACTGAGGAGACCTGGTTCAAATCCATTCCTTCCCTCACCTCATTCTTCCAGTCTGTAAACAAGAGGCTGATCCTTCTACCTAACTGTACGCAGGATTTGAACAAAGCAGTTAAACACACGAGAACTAGACATCTTCCAGACATCTCTTGAGCTTGGCAGCAAGAAGTAAGTAGATAAAAGTGAGATTTGCTAATTTTGTGCATCTCATGATGCAGACCCGCATACTTTCCCTCACTGCATCTTGTAAAGGACTCTTAACATTTCTTTAAAATAAAATGGGGTGACTTTTGTCCTATAGGATTAATAAAGAATGTGGTGGCACTGATACTTCACCAAACAATTGCCTTTACTTCTGAGCAGGTAAAACCTTGCTAATTCTTTTGGGCAACCACCTGAAATGCACACGATGCTGGCGAGGAACAGCACCGCTCCCAGTTAGATTGCATGAGTGTTGTTATTGCACCATACAGCATGATGGTTACCTTGTGTTAAGTATGAATAATTACAGCAAAATTGGTAGACAAGGTTCTTTGGGTGATAATGAATAATTACAGCAAAAATTGTTACGCTCTGCCACAATTTCAAGATCAGGCATTTCAGGTGCCTGAAAATCAGCTGTCATCTGATGGCATGCATTTACAGGGGGTGGATATTTTGCAGATATTGTGCCATTCCTCTCAAAATCTTGCAACCTGTTCCAGACATTTCCAGTCCATTCAGCTGCTGTCAAGATAATCCTATCTAAATCTTCCTGTTTTTGCCTTCCATATACAGCGCTTTGTGCATCTAATCCTGTCCCAATCATTGGAGCATGCAAAGCTCTACAGGATCAGGCCCATAAAAAGCAGCACAGTGAGGCTACTGGCTGTGTCCACATCCTGAAGCATGACTGTTGCCTGGGAGCAAGTCCTCTTCCTTTGTGAAAAACAATTTGATTAAAAAAAAAAAGAAAAAAAAAAAAGACCCGAGGCAGAAATTGTGGCACAGCTATTTCAAATATGAGCTATTTCCAGTGAATGAAATGCACAAACGCAAGTCTGCTCCCTAAAGTTCTCTTGAATTATTTTGGGATCAAGAATTGCTCACATTGGATTTTTCACCTAAATTATCTGCCTCTTTTCAATTAGCTTTTATTATTTTAATGGGGGCTCCTCCCTCCCTCCCCCGGCACTCTGGCCTCGCTCACATAATTGCCTATATTTTATGTAAATGGAATTGTTACACCGTAAAATGATATACAAATGTGTCTACCACACAAAGTCCAATAAAGGGCCTGAATAAACCCATTATTTACAATGTAACGGCATCTGATAGCAGCCTGGGAAACACAGGGCTGACAGATGTGAGCCCGTGACAAGGCTTGAAAAAATGTGAATGAGGAGGGCTCCGATAGACCACAATTAATTGACTTTTAAAATAACTCCTTTTTTCACAGTTCTACTTGGCTGAGCAAGATTCACAAATTGCTGTCTTGAACTTTTTAATGGGACAAAATAGCTGCCAATGAAAGTCTAAATGACATGGACTTTGAATAGGAGTCATACAATGACCACACCGTGACATGTTTTTAACTGACATATTGATTATTTGAGAAGTAGCAGCCACTCAATCGAAGGCAGGAAGGGGGCCAAGGGAGGTGGGGGGAGGAGAGGAGAGGCAGGCGGTAAATGCTTTCAGCTCTGGGAAGGCTAAAAATGATTTCATGTCAGGAAGGGGAATAATATTGGGCAACGTTACCTTCTTGTAGAGGCTTCCATGCGCATGTCTGTAGGATGTCATTAGAGAGCTGATCTGGTACAAAATACAAATCTACTGAAACCAATGGACTGAAAAATGGCATGAGTTGGTGCACCTCTTCTAGACTCTCATCCCCAA